TGACGTGTACTACAAGAACCTGTCGGGTGTTCTACAAGAACCCGTCAGTGACGTGTTCTACAAGAACCTGTCAGGTGACGTTTTCTACAAGAACCTGTCAGGTGACGTGTACTACAAGAACCTGTCGGGTGACGTGTTCTACAAGAACCTGTCAGGTGACGTGTACTAAAGAACCTGTCAGGTGACGGTACTACAAGAACCCGTCCGGTGACGTGTACTACAAGATCCTGTCAGGTGATGTGTTCTACAAGAACCTGTCAGGTGACGTGTACTACAAGAACCTGTCAGGTGACGTGTTCTACAAGAACCTGTCCGGTGACGTCAGAACCGTCAGGTGACGTGTCTACAAGAACCGTCAGACGTGTACTTCAAGAACCTGTCAGGTGACGTGTTCTACAAGAACCTGTCAGGTGACGTGTTCACAAGAACCTGTCAGGTGACGTGTTCTACAAGAACCTGTCAGGTGACGTGTTCTACAAGAACCTGTCAGGTGACGTGTTCTACAAGAACCTGTCAGGTGACGTGTTCTACAAGAACCTGTCAGGTGACGTTTTCTACAAGAACCTGTCAGGTGACGTGTTCTACAAGAACCTGTCAGGTGACGTGTTCTACAAGAACCTGTCAGGTGACGTGTTCTACAAGAACCTGTCAGGTGACGTGTTCTACAAGAACCTGTCAGGTGACGTGTTCTACAAGAACCTGTCAGGTGACGTTTTCTACAAGAACCTGTCAGGTGACGTGTTCTACAAGAACCTGTCAGGATAGACGAACAGACGGAAGGATAGGTGTAGAGACGGAATGAGGAACAAACTGATGAAAGGACGGAAACCTAGACGAACAGTCGGAGTGAGAAACAGAGGAGGCTAGACGAATAGACGGAAGGAGGAACCAACTGACGGAAGGAAAAACAAACTGACGAAAGCATAGACAGACAATCTGGAATGAGGTACAAACAAGTGAACAAACAAGAAGAATAGAAATCTGGTGCGCTGGGCTGATGGGGTCTGGGGTGACATATAAGGCAGGTCGCCTCCATAATGTACCGACCGCCGGGGTCTCTCCTGCATCACACGGAGGATGCCACCTAAATTATTCATCCTCAGAGACTTGAGGACGCCCCGACATGATGATGAAATGCCTCCCCACGATGACTGATGGGTAGCCACGCCCAGGGTGATATTAGGGCAGGGTTTTGGGCAGGTTGTATCAATATGTAAGGGGAGACATTGGCCTATGAGGTGTTGGCTAAAATCCCACATATATCTCAGGAAGATAATCTGTAGTACTGTATGGCTGAGGTGGTCTGTTGCTCGGTGAATTAGCAAGTGATGATCCGTCGTTGATATATCGATAACGTGTTCATAATAGTGAAGACTCGTTGATATATAGATAACGTGTACATAATGGTGTTGACCCGTTGTTGATATATCAATAACGTGTTCATAATAGTAAAGACTCGTTGTTGATATATCATTAATGTGTACATAATAGTGATAACATGATACTGATATATGGATGATGTTCACAGGAGTTAAAATAATAACAAAAATGACTCATTCATGGACGAGTGACTCAGCAGGTGTTGGTCGCCAGCGGTAGTGATTCGTAACGTAAAAATAATGTTGAAGAGATGGCCAGTAGTCAGTGAACAAAGCGTCAATGGTTGTTTGAGTGGTCCTTGTCATATATATATATATATATATATATATATATATATATATATATATATATATATATAAAATATATATATATATATATATATATATATATATATTACTAACACAACGAGATGGCAGAGAAAATACAGTCTTTGTTTATTTCTACAACTACTGACTGCAGTTAAGAAGTTGAGGACTTATTAAGGTGACAGTTGAAGTATATATTGCGATAATCTACATAAGTTATCCATCAACGATAATAATTTACATTTTAACGCTTAAATTTAAACCTCCTGCAGCTGTGTTCGCTGGAAAAGGTTCTGAAGACTCTACATAACAGTGGGAGTCTCTTCTAGTAGTTACTCAACAACAACGGCAAGGTATGACCTGGCACCACCGAAACAAGAAGTTAAAACTTTAGGATGAAATAAGAGTGTGGTGGTGGGGTGTGGCAGGGGTGGTAGCAAGGGCTGGTTGTAAGGGGTGGCAGCAGGGGTGGTAGCAAGGGCTGGTTGTAAGGGGTGGCAGCAGGGGTGGTAGCAAAGGCTGGTTGTAAGGGCGGCAGCTGATGGTTGTGGGTGGCAGCAGGGGTGGTAGCAAGGGCTGGTTGTAAGGGGTGGCAGCAGGGGTGGTAGCAAGGGCTGGTTGTAAGGGGTGGCAAGGGGTGGTAGCAAGGGCGCTTGTAAGGGGTGGCAGCAGAGGTGGTAGCAAGGGCTGGTTGTAAGGGCGGCAGCTGGGATGGTTGTAAGGGGTGGCAGCAGGGTGGTAGCAAGGCTGCTTGTAAGGGTAGCAAGCAGGGTAGCAGGGCTGCTTGTAAGGGGTGGCAGCAGAGGTGGTAGCAAGGGCTGGTTGTAAGGGCGGCAGCTGGGATGGTTGTAAGGGGTGGCAGCAGGGGTGGCAGTAAGGGCTGGTTGTGGGTGACAGAAGGGCTGGTTGTGAGGGGTGGCAGCAAGGGCTGGTTGTAAGGGGTGGCAGCAAGGGCTGGTTGAAAGGGGTGGCAGCAAGGGCTGGTTGTAAGGGGTGGCAGCAAGGGCTGGTTGTAAGGGTGTGCAGCAAGGGCTGGTTGTAAGGGGTGGCAGCAAGGGCTGGTTGTAAGGGTAAGGCAAGGGCTGGTTGTAAGGGGTGGCAGCAAGGGCTGTTGAAAGGGGTGGCGCAAGGGCTGGTTGTAAGGCGGCAAGGGGCTGGTTGTAAGGGTGGCAGCAAGGGCTGGTTGTGAGGGGTGGCAAGGGCTGGTTGTGCGGCAGCAAGGGCTGGTTGTAAGGTGGCAGCAGAGGGAACACCACTACTGCTGGTCATGCACTATTGTCATCTTTTTATGCGCCACACAAACACCCTTCATCCAAACCCAGCGACCCGCCACTAACCGCCCCGTAAACAGGGGTACTACCCGCCCCAAAGAGGGCATACCCGCCCTGGAGATCGAGCCACTACCCGCGCCAGAGAGTGAGCCACTGCCCGGAGAGTAAGCCACTACCCGCCCTGGAGAGGGAGCCACTACCCGCCCCGGAGATCGAGCCACTACCCGCCCTGAGATCAAGCCATTACCCGCCCCACAGAGGGAGCCACTACCCGCCCCAGAGAATGAGCCACAAACCCCCTTCCATCATAACAGCTCTGGTAGCACCAATAATTGCTTGCTTCAGGTCATATTTTGTATGACTAATAAAAATGCTGACTGTAGAACTGCTCGTTATATTATACAGGGCGTCCTCAAGTATCTGTCTATTTGTCGAAATAATAGTAATTTAGATTTTTGTTGCAGGTAATTGATGATGAATGTACATGACCGTGTGACGGTAGTAACACTATCCGAAGGAGGGACGTACACCACCCCGATGATTTAACACATTTTATTTATTGTTGCATGAAACATCCTCAACACTTTTCGGGTACACATTTAACTTGATGCAGTTCCTTGCAAAAAATAAATGTGTTAAATCCGGAAATGGAACTGCCCAGAGCCTGTTTCTACTACACCCAGTCCAGTGATGTGAAAAACCTTCATCGGGGTGGTGTACGTCCTCCTCGGATAGTGTTACTACCGTCACACGGTCATGTACATTCATCATCAATTACCTGCAACAAAAATCTAAATTACTATTATTTCGACAAATAGACAGATACTTGAGGACGCCCTGTATACTAGATGTGATGATGTACGGAAGGACGATGGTCCATAATATACGCGAGTGAGGCTGGATACATTAGGAACAGGTGCCGACGTACCGTGTTATGCAGCATATGAGTACATACCAACATAAGAATGGAGGAAACTGCAGCGGCCCTGTTGGCCCATACTGGGCAGTCCTGTTTACACCCAACCCCTATCGCTCATATATTTATCCAACCTCTGTTTGAAGCTATCTATCGTGTTCGAAATAATGATGATATTTGGTAATTTGTTCCACCTGTCCACTACTCTATTTTCAAACCAGTGTTTACCTATCTCGTCCCTATATCTAAATATATCTAATTTAAAACCATTGCTACGAGTTCGCTCCCGGTTGCATAATTTTGATTACCTTTGTTATATCACCTTTGTCTAGCCCTGACTTCCATTTATACACCTCGATCATATCGCCCCTCACTCTACGACTCTCGAGGGAGTACAGATAAGTTGCTTTAACCTGTTTCTGTACTCAAGGTTCCTAATGCCCGGGATTAGTCTTTCTAGGGATTCTATATCCATTCTGTAGTACGGTGACCAGAACTGAACTGCATAATCCAAGTGAGGTCTCACAAGCGCAAGATTTAGTTTTAGGATAACCTCTTTTGTATGAACCCAAGTACTTTGTTAGCCTTGTTTCGAGCAAATACACATGTTGACTTGGTTTAAGATTCCTACTCATCATTACTCCTAAATCTTTCTCACAGTCGGATTTCTATATCAACCTTCCCACCGCTTGATAAATCACTTGTATAAGATCAGCGTAATATATACTACAACTGGTGGTGTTATCGTGGAATGAGGAAAACTCAGTATAAACAAAAAATGGTCTCGTCTCAGACATACAGTATATTGCGGAAGGTGGGATAGCTTCAAATATAGGTTGGTTGGATATATGAGCGATAGGGGTTGGGTGTAAAACGGACTGCCCAGTATGGCTAATAGGCCCGCTGCAGTTTCCTCCACTCTTACGTTCTTATATAAGAATTTGTCTTTCCATGGGCGACCAAGACGTCGTCACCATTATTTGCCAATAGGTAAGGTTCTTTAGAGAGTAGCAGGCAAGACGTATCTGTGAACACAGTCCGTGTTACCACAGTACTTCATCACCTGTGAGGGAACACCTGAGAAAATGGTGGATGCGAAGAGTAAGAGGTGGTGGTGTTAAGACTTACCTGAGGGAAGGACAGGTGTGTGTACAGGTGAGCCACACTTCTCTCTCACCAGCTGCTGCTTTATCTCTCACACTACTCGTGATAATTATAATAACACTACTTGGTAATGATGACCGCGGAGAGTTGGGGTGGCAAGGCCCTCCATGCTGCGTCTCCGCTACCACCGTATTATCTCAAGTGGATGATACTTGGTAGATGATGCTGAGTGAGTTATAGAGTGCCTCTGATATCTTGGACCGCTCAGAGTCAAAGTGGCGTGGTGCCCTGTGAGGCATGGCAGGGCACTAGGAGGTGATGTGAGGCGCGTGCAGACGATGCTGTGGCTGAGGGCAGTGTGGACGATGGGCACAGTGCGGGGTGGTCACGAGATCTCTCGGCCCCGCATCGAGCGTACCCACCGTCATACACGGCCCCTCACTAAGCATCGCGGCACCTGAGCGTTGTAATAATTTCTAGTATGAGGATGACCGGAGTGATGACGACACTGTTAGTACACCAGTAGCCTTACCTAGGTCCCTCGCCCCCACCACAATAAATATCAGTTACACTAGTCAGTCAGTCTTGAGCCAAAATGAAAAATCATATATATATATATATATATATATATATTACATAAACACCGGACTTCTACATACAATCAACACTCAACCCGCCAGAACCCACGCCCCAGATGGACCGCCAACCCGACCACCAGGATACTAAAAGCAGTCCTAGACTTTGTTATATTTCACACAAAGCCTGTTCAACGAGCTTACACCGTGAACCTCTAATGGGACCACCCGTATCCTTAGGTGGTCAAGTAACGTTTACCAAATCCGCTTCGAAACACGAGATCCATTTATATTTCATTAGCCCAATAAAACGATATCTACATACAATCAACACCTCAACCCGCAGATTGAACCCACGCCACAAGCCTATGACTGTGACCGGGAACGCTAACCGCTGACCACCAGATACAAAGCACCCCGTCGTCAACTGTCAATATTGATTATATATATATATATATATATATATATATATATATATATATATATATATATATATATTTTTTTAATCTAAAATAAAATTTCCACTAACAGGATGACGATCAGCAGCACGAGCCACGGCTTGTGTATATGTGAAGGTGTGTGGTGGTCTTTATTGGTCAGGTAATGCGGTGGTCCTTATTGGTCAGGTAATGTGGTGGTCTTTATTGGTCAGGTAATGCGGTGGTCCTTATTGGTCAGGTAATGTGGTGGTCCTTATTGGTCAGGTAATGCGGTGGTCCTTGTTGGTCGTAATGTGGTGTCCTTATTGGTCAGGTAATGTGGTGGTCCTTATTGGTCAGGTAATGTGGTGGTCCTTATTGGTCAGGTAATGTGGTGGTCCTATTGGTCAGGTAATGTGGTGGTCCTTATTGGTCAGGTAATGTGGTGGTCCTTATTGGTCAGGTAATGTGGTGGTCTTATTGGTCAGGTAATGTGGTGGTCCTATTGGTCAGGTAATGTGGTGGTCCTTATTGGTCAGGTAATGTGGTGGTCTTATTGGTCAGGTAATGTGGTGGTCCTTATTGGTCAGGTAATGCGGTGGTCCTTATTGGTCAGGTAATGTGGTGATCCTTATTGGTCAGGTAATGCGGTGGTCCTATGTCAGGTAATGTGGTGGTCCTTATTGGTCAGGTAATGGGTGGTCCTTATTGGTCAGGTAATGTGGTGGTCCTTATTGGTCAGGTAATGTGGTGGTCCTTATTGGTCAGGTAATGTGGTGGTCCTTATTGGTCAGGTAATGTGGTGGTCCTTATTGGTCAGGTAATGTGGTGGTCCTTATTGGTCAGGTAATGTGGTGGTCCTTATTGGTCAGGTAATGCGGTGGTCCTTATTGGTCAGGGTAATGGTGGTCCTCATTGGTCAGGTAATGTGGTGGTCCTTATTGGTCAGGTAATGTGGTGGTCCTTATTGGTCAGGTAATGTGGTGGTCCTATTGGTCAGGTAATGTGGTGGTCCTTATTGGTCAGGTAATGTGGTGGTCCTTATTGGTCAGGTAATGCGGTGGTCCTTATTGGTCAGGTAATGCGGTGGTCCTTATTGGTCAGGTAATGTGGTGGTCCTTATTGGTCAGGTAATGGTCCTCACCAAGTTAATGTGTTGATAAATTTTTTTTATATTGGCTGTTGACAAGGATACACACACAACACACACACACACCACACACACACACACACACACGGGCGCGTTTACATAAAGGTGTGCTTGACGCCAGATATGAAGGGAAGTGAATGTGGTCTCATGGTGATGGTGAAACTGTGTGTGTGGAGGGCGCTGTATTGTGTGCGTGTGTATGTGTGTGTGTGTGTGTGTATGTGTGTGTGTGTGTGTGTGTGTGCGAATGACGTATGGAGGGCGTTGTTTGTGGGTATGGAGGGCGCTGTATTGTGCGTGTGTGTGTGTGTGTGTGTGCGAATGACGTATGGAGGGCGTTGTTTGTGGGTATGGAGGGCGCTGTATTGTGTGTGTGTGTGTGTGCACAGGGTGGTGTAATGCGTCTAGTGTGGCAGCATTATGTTAATGTTAAAGTGCAAGCACTGCTTGCTTCCTCTTGCTTTCAGTTACCGCCGCTGACTAGCCCTCTTGGCGAACAGGGAAACAACATGCATAAATCTCCCCCTGCCAGTACACAGCCTCCTCACCATCAAGACTCCTGCTGTGTCACCTAACGAAAAATCTGCGGTGGAGCTCTACAACAGGCAGACATGTTTACAGAGCTCCAGTAAGACCCCAACGGCGGAAGAGGTGACCAACATGGGAACCCAACGACTACACCGGCCGATGAAGGCAATGTAAGATGGACAGGCTACTGAGGCGAAAACCAACAAACTGGGCTATCGGCAGTCCATTGCAATTCTTACTTTCCCCAGTCGTTGCACCTGCTTGCACCACTGGATCAGGAAAAGGGAGAGCCAAGATGTGTGGCTGCAGCCTATATTCCTATACCCCCGAAGTCCTTTGGCAAAAGACTAGTGGTGACGGGGACAGGCAGAGATGACTGCCAGGAGTCTCTAGTCACAACTCTGCACAGAGTGCTAACCTCTATCCTCAGAGAAGATAAAGTTGCGCTCCTAGTCGACTTCACTGCCAGAGTTGGAAGAGATGCTGAAATATAGCAGGGATTCATAGGGAGAAACGGAAAAGGCAATTGTAATCCCAACAGCCTACTCCTCTTCAGCAAGTGTGCTGAAAATAACCTCAATATCACCAACACATTGTTTAGGCAGGCCATCAAGTTCAAGGGTTCGTGGCAACACCCACGATCCAAACACAGGCATCTCATTGACTGCATCATTGTCAGAGAAAGAGATCGCAGAGATGTCCTCATCACCCGAGCCAAGCGTGGCTCAGACCACTGTGACACTGATCATCGGCTCGTCAGAGCCAAACTCCCACTTCACATCGCCCCAAAACGGCGAAGGCAACAAGCCTCCAAAAGTGGTTTTAACACTAAGCGTCTGGAGGATCCAGCAATAGTACATGCTTTGAGAGAGCAGCTCCAATATGGGCTGACAAACATCCCGACAACAAAGAACCCAAATCCCAGTGCCGAATGGGATATTCTCAACACTGTCATGACAAAAACCTGCAGAGAGACCCTCGGCCAGATCGAAAGAATACACCAGGGCTAATTTGATAAAAGTGGCCTAGAAATCAACGTACTCGTCGATGACAAATGTGCTGCTTTAACTGACTATCAGAATAACTCTCAGTCTCGGATCAAACATTTGAAGCTGATTTCTTCCACAAGAAGCAAGCGGTGGCTCAGCTCGAACTTTGCAATCCAAAGAACGAATGGTTGAAAACTAAAGTGTGTGAAATGCAAAAAAACTTGCAGATCAGCACAAGATGCGCAAATTTTTTAATTCCACTAAAATATTATGTTGACCAATCACTCATGGTGCAGCCCCCCTCCGCTCATCCGATGGTAACTCCCTAATTAAAGACGAAGAAGGCATCCTTCACTGCTGGAAAGAGCACTACCATTCGCGACTCAATTATAACACCAATGTAGATGTCCTGACTACCCAGCAGGTCCCTCAACATCCAGAGCTGACCCACCTCAGCTATCCTCCATCCCTTGATGAGGCAGCTACTGCCATCAAACCGATGAAGAATAACAAAGCCTCAGGGCCTGATGGAGTCCCAGCCGAGGTGTATAAAACAGGAGGACCTCTGCTTACTAGCCGTCTCCACTCTCTCCTAGGGAATATATGAGAGAAAGAAGAAATCCCCCAAGCTCTTAAAGAGGCCTCCATCGTCAATATTTATAAGAACAAGGGGAACCGGTCAGACTGTGGCAACTACCGCTCTGGTTGGATAGTTTGAGTACCTTTGTTATAATCACCTTTTTTTTCGCCCTGACTTCCATTTATACACCTATCATATCGCCCCTCACTACGTCTCTCGAGGGAGTGCACATTAAGATGCTTTAATCTGTCTCTGTACTCAAGGTTCTTAATGGCCGGTATTAGTCTTGTCATTCTCCTCTGAATTCTTTCTAGGGATTCTATATCCATTCTGTAGTACGGTGCAGTGTTGGTGTAGTGTGTTTGTGTGGTCTGGTGTGGTGTGGTATTGGTGTAGTGTGTGGTTGGTGTAGCGTGTGTGGTGCAATGTGTGGTGGCCACTCATTGTGATGCATTAACCAGTGTTTTTTAGTGTTTGATGTATGGTCACACAGTGTGTGGCTCCTGCAATGTTTATCATGAAATTTATGTTGCAACTCCTCTTGTCAACCTTTGCAAAATTTTAAGGTAAAAAATATTTTCCACGATAAACACGCGCTGTTTAGTGTACCCGCTGTTGTAACCCTCTGCCCAAGGGTAACAATAAATAAGTGTTGCCACTTCTCAAACAATATAATTCCTGTTTACTTACCCAATTTTCCCCTTCAAATTCCCACGAATAATATCTAAATTCCCACAAAATGTTTTCGTGTATAACAATAGTAAACATTAGTTTGAATAATGTTTTTAACAGACGGTGTGCTCATTATATTATACTGTATGTGGGAGACGTATAATAGAGATGTTAATCCAGCGTCACCAACTCTTCCTCAGCTTCTAGTCGTTCATCAGTTGATGGAGGACCGACATTGAGTCTGTTTCTGAGCTTGGTGTGCACTACGTTCATCTAGGATAATATTCTGTCCACCGAGGCGCCAGAAAATAAGAGTGCTGATGCTAACGAGGCTATATTAGGAACTGACTTTTCCCCAACTTCGGTTTTTTCCTCATTTACTTGAGCCCAAAATGATATTACATCATTCAAGCTTAATTAAGGCCTATCATTC